TTTTTTTCTTTTACTTACCGTAATAGATCCAGGAAGTCACAGGCGCGACAGATATACCGCACTTGAAGACGGAGTTGGCATCTTGCGCAAGCACCATGCCAGTGGTGAAGCCGCCGTAGCTCCAACCCCATACGCCAGTCCTGTTTGCGTCGATCCACTTGTACTGCTTCTGCAGAATTCTACGACAAGGAACGTTCTCATGTTCAGAATGACGTTTGCAGCCGGAAACGAAGCAATTTTCGATCACTTTCGGACTACTCACGAGGTGACAGCGATCGTATCTTCAACCTCTACGGTGCCTAGCTTTCGATATATCTCGAAGAGCATGTTGCTGCCTTTATAGGCCGATCCTCGTGCATCGATCCGTGCATAGACCACGTCTCGGCTGGTCGTAAAATAATGCTCGTATCCGATTTTGTGGTCATCGGTGATCCTGGCCGAGTTCGGACCGGCGTAGCTGCGGATTTTAAGGTATTAACCAAATGTTTCAACCGAAACGATAACACAATTCAAAGAATAGCTTTCAGTTTTCATCCCCTCAACATTACGCGGTATTCAATTTTATCCAGAGCTCCGAGCTACAAATGGATAGTATGAATGTCTAAGTAGGTGGAGCGCTCGATACTTCTTAAAAAAGAAGGGAAAAGTAAGCGAGGGTCATTAAAGATAATCGATCGTTGCGAAAGCCCCGGCATGAATCGGCTAAGCAAACAGACCCGATCAGCGGTCCAATTTTAAATGGAGATTGTAATCCTTTTGCGTGCCGATTAATCATAACGTACGCCGATTCTAACTGTGCCGTAGCCACTTAATTATATATACCGTATATACATAACGTACTAGCACATTATCAAAATAATATAAATAAAATATTAATTTCTTTTCGAAATTATGCAGTTAGATTTGCAATTTATAAAGCATTAGACAACTATGGCTTTAATTCAACTCAAACCTTTATGTTTTACAAAACGAAAACGTTCTGTTAAGTAAATTTTTTTTCTTTAACGCTATTGCTTTACTATGTAACATTAATATTTATCGAAATCTACACACAGAAAAATATAAACTACCTGCAAGTTAATATTACTTGATTCAAGTATTTGATAAGTTCATATATGAGCAAATCTACCATAAAGTCGTCATAAGTATCACATTTACTCAAAACATATTCTAGATCTTAGCAAGTTTAGTACTTGAAACAAGAATATTAAATTAATACGAATATTTGGTTTACTTACAATATAGAGTCTACGGAAGAGAAGCATATACTTCAATAAAGATATTACATTTTCTTGAGAGAAGTTTATCCGTTATTTGAATCAAGTAAAAATTTTATTCATCTAGAATAATCGTTTACTTCAAAAAAGAATTTGTATTCTTGATGATTACAATTAATATTATTTTTATTTTTTTAATTTTCTTTAATTCTTTAGTTCCTAAGTGGAATGTAGGTTAGGAGGTTTTCGTGCGCTGTGCGGAGGGGTAGTACTTACAGTTTAGAATATAAAAATTCTTGTCCTCAGGTGGACTTGAACCAGGTTCCTCGTGGTTATGAGTCTGACACTTTATCACTAGGCCACATCTCTGATTATATTCTTAGTGTTGCAGTATCTAGTTTTCACAGAAGTAATTTATTGATTTCAAGTATTTCATATATTCTTACTTAAAGAATCAGTAAATATTCAAATCAAGCTTATGTGGCTTCTTAGATAAAGTTTACAGAATATACTCGAAATTAATGAATCACTTCTGTCAAAACTAGATACTGCAGCACTAAAAATATAATCAGAGATGTGGCCTAGTGATAAAGTATCAGACTCATAACCACGAGGAACCGGGTTCAAGTCCACCTGATGACAGGAATTTCAGTATTCTAAACTGTATCCCTCCGGACCGCGCACGAAAACCTCCTAACCTAGAAGAATGTCGTTCTACAGCCAAGTATTTCATATTCTTACCTAAAAAATCAGTAAATATTCAAATCAAGTTTATGTTGCTTTTCTTAGATAAAGTTTCGGAATATACTTGAAAGAAGAATAAATTCTTCTTTTAAGCACATGATGATAAGCTTTTCTAATACTTATGATGAGTATATTAAGAAACTAATATTAAGAAAATATTCTTTGTTAAAGAAAACTGTTACTCAAACCAAATAAAATAAAATGAGTAATTGCTTTTCTTGGCTATAGAACGATATTTTTCTGTGTGTACACGTGATAATATCATAAAGATACTCGTATAGATATGTATTTGTCTTCATATCAAGCGTGATATAAATAAGCAATCGGGAAATATATATCCTCACAATAAAATTGATTTTATTGTCTAATATACATATGTCGCTAAATTTTATTCACTATAAATTTCGTTTTTTATATTTTTATCTTTATGATCAAAAAGTTTTGTTGCTGAACGCAAAACTTTTTTTAGTCAATTATCACGTGGAGAAATGTTGACTGATATTTTTATGTCGTCTTAGCAAATTTCGTTACTTATTATTCTATCAGAGGAGCTTCGATACTCACACGAATACCAGCAAGGGATACGATTTGTTTTCGTCGAAATCCGGCGGCAGGAGCAATCTGACCCTGCAGTCATAACCGTTCACGGTAATGTTGAAATCTTTTTGTTTCGGCATCAGTTTTCGCGACAAAAGTTTCCTTGTCAGGTCGTTATTGGTCCAAGTCGAGACTGGCTGATGATTCTCGTCGTAAATCGTCACCGTAGTTGGATCAGGCCCGGCACAGGTGAGGGCGTAAAACGATCTCTGGCTCGAGAAAGACGCGGTCGCGTAAGTGCATTTGTTTCCTGTAACATTTAAATTCGTCGGAATGTTTCCACGGAGAAAACCCATTTTCTTATTCTACATAATAAGATGCTCATTCCCGCCGCTTTAATTTTGTCCGATGTTGCCCCCGTTGCTCTGCAGTTATTTCCGCTTTCATTTTCGGATATACATTTTTGAATATATAGGTATATACACGTATGTAATATCGAAATCTGTATAAAATTCTGCTCACCAACGCGGCGTACATTGCTAACTCCTCGTCAAAGAAAACAAGAGGCATAAATTTTGACACTTTCTACTTTTCGCCGAAAGAAATAAATTCCAGCAAACATCATATTTTAACGGATACAGGGTACACCTAGGGGATCGACCGAGATACAGAGACCTCTCATAGACGTTGATTTTTCTCGTGGGTGCAAATAGCCCGGCGAATTAATCTTCTCTACGCGATAGCGCTCCGTCTGGTGAACGCAGCTGCCGCCGATAGCCGGAAAAACTTGCGCGAAAAGTAATATTTCAGTCTCACCTCGTTTACGGGACGAGACGTTTCGCATACAGGAATTAAGATTCCGAATTTTTCGGAATCTCCCCGCGTAGCGATGGGAGGAGATAAGTTCGCGCAAAGATAAGTTCACGCCCGGGTCTATGCGGGAGGAGATTCAGAAATTTTTACTTGAATTCGCGCAACTTTCGGCGCACTGCAGAAATGTGCGAGGAAAAATTGTGGCGATTTTTTACGGGAGCGAGGTTCCCGTAGATTACATCATATAGTCGCTCGCGTAGATCTTTCCCGCGCGAGTCTATCAACCCTCTCCCCCTCGCATATACACATACGCGCGCGCGCGCGCGCGCGCTAAATATTCATGAACTTGCGACTTGCGGCTTTTGTCAGATGAGATTACTCCCGATGGACTTTTCGTTTTAATTGGAACGTGTACCTATCATCTCGAACAAGTTACAAATACCGTTGACGATGAGTCCAGAAATTTCTTTGCCACTTACGGGACTCTCCCGAGTTTCCGGTCTCATTAGATGGTCGGACGCCCCCTGCCGGAGACCTGCCGTTTTGGTCTTTTGTCCGGTTTACGTTTTTCTGTCGCCTCTGCGAGAGGACTATTGTGGTACGTGATGTATGCCTCGTTAGTTTCCCGCGTATCGCAACTGTTGTTCAGCGTGCTATGTTTAGGGGAGAGGGGTTTTAGTGGGTGCAAGCCCCACATAACTCGGTGCGGCCGGGGCCGGTATGCGCGAGGCATTTTCCCTTTTTCCACGGAAACAAAAAAAAAAAAGATGGTCGGACGCGAATCTAAGTAAAACGAACGATCGGACATTAAGAGTTATGAAGTTTTCATGCTTTTTGCGTAAAATATTCCTCCCATGAGAGACGCCGTAGTTTAAATAGAATATTCCGACGACGCTGAACGTTCTCGTGAGATAGGGCCTTCACGTTCGTGCACGTTGCAAGCTCATCATCTAAATTGATGAAAAACGTCACTCTTCTCTTTTTTCCTCTTTCTGTATTTCTCTCTCTCTCTCTCTCTCTCTCTCTCACACACACTCATTCATTCACTTACTCTCTTCTCTTGCTCATATTCATGATTTCGAGGACTCACCTTCCGGCGTTAGCAGCTCGCAGGATATGCAAGTCGGTTCCTGGCTCCCATCCAGAGGCACCGAATACAAATTCCTCTGGGTCGGTTCACCCGGCGCCGTGGCGAGGTAGTAAACTCTGCCTCTGGCCGAATCGACTGCCAGGATCGTGTGAACTTCGGAGGGCCCGGGTGTCAGATCTACCGGTTTAATAAACCGATCGTCCTTGTATTCGTACCTAACGAGACAACAGTAAAATTACGAAAAAAGAAAAAAAGCAAATTATAAAAAATTTTTTACGTTTCGAGATCACTATGTCAAACTTTTCTTTCTGAGCTATACGAGTTTAGAGAAGCCTAATTTGTAATTTATTCAGAACCAAGAAGCAAAAAATTTCAGATTATTCTGAGAATCGTAATTTTTTTCGTTAATTTATAAATATATTTTTTTTTATAAATTGCCTAATATCTCACCTGTCTATATGACGGAATCTGCCGGCACTGGTGCCAGAATCCTCTCGCCGTAAATACAAAACATAATTGCCGGTTTTTATAGGGATATTCGGTTGAAGCCAGCCCTCGGTCTCCTCGTCGAAAAAAACCAATTTGATATCCCCTTGTGTGTTGTACATCGTCAGCTGGGATTGGTTCTGTACACGGTTCGTCCATGTCGTGATCACGTGTGTTTGGTTCCACCAGTTCACGTTATATAGAACGTTATCACTACGAATGTGAATGCCAAGTAGCAATATGTTAAACATGATCGTAAAATCGTCTGAAGATCGTTACGGAGATACTTGTTGTTAATAGGAAAACTTGCCTCGTAACCACATCAACGGGCGCTTCCAAGGTGACTGCTTCTGACGATGGATCTGTCAAGTCGATCACCGATAGAGTTACTGTCGGATTCGGTGTACCTACCTGTGAAAATATGTATATGATTTTTTTTTCACTGATATAAATGATCTTGCAAGTTACATGTTACATGACATTATAAAACACTTCAGAATAACGCCACTCTAGCGCCCCCTAATTTTGACAATTTTTTATTGTTTAAAAATGAAACGTTTTATTTAAACGTGCACCATTTTTACAAAAAATGATATTTTTTAATATCCGTACGTACTTCCCGAGCTAATCTTATATAAAACTAAAAAATTTTTGGTTTTTGTTCCAGGTCGAAAATTGGAGGAGAAATTTTTTCGGCCGCAGAATACTTCTGGCTTTCTTTGCTGAGCTCTGACGCCGCCATTTTGTAAAAAAAAAATTGAAAAAATTGTGAACACACACTTTAAATTCAAGAAAATAATAAAAAATAATTTAAGTTTCTGAAGAAGTTTGTAAAATATCAAAAAATTGTTTTTATTTTCTTAAATAAAATGTATTTTTACACATATATCACTGATAACTGTAACTTGAGAGAAAAAAGATTATAGCTTAAGTTCTGAAATTTTTGAGAGGAGATTTTTACGCTTTTAGAAGATATGAAGCGAAATTGAAAAAGAATTTTTCAACTCCGTACATGATCTCAGAAATGCAGCTTTTTTTTATCAGTTTTTCACAGCCGACTTTCAAATGGTACCACATGGTGCAGAAGCATCACCGAGGAAAAAGCTTGAAGGGATTTGAAAGTTGAGACTTCGGGGCTTTAAAATATCGTTTTTTAGAATCTCTTTACCACCATTTCTCGCATAAATACATAAATTTGTACTTTATTTTTGTCACTAATTTAAAGTGAATCGTAAATGGAATAATTAAATATATTCGATATAATATAACTGAAATAGTTATGATTTGATTAATCCGAGTGATTAACAGATAGTAGTTAACAAAGAGAGATATGCTTGTTGCTGTTGATAAATGAGGGTCTGATATAGGGCGAGAAATGGTTTGCGGGCTTTTTTCACGGAAGATTGCGCTGCTGCCAGTGCACTTTGACAATTGAATTATCCGTACGTGCCGACACATGCACGCGGAAAATGGATCTATGGTAGAGTAAGTTCGAGTTAAACGGAAGAACGACGGTCCTTCCAACTCGTTACGACAATAACCGATTTTGCCGAGTGGAGATGATTAGTCGAGTTCTCAATGGTGACTTATCAATATTATCGTGTCGGGATAATGCAAATATTTTTAGTAACGATATCGCTGAATTATTGATAAGATAGTAATAATTTGCAATGTACAATCAATAGCTGACAGTTTTTGTTGCATAAGCAGAGAAGAGAAAGACATTTAAAAGATACTATCGATTTTAGAAATGTTGAAAAAATTTTCGAAATATCTATTTAAAAATATTACAAAATAAGTATTCTCAGTCTTCACATATTTATAGATTTAGAGACGTTTTTGAAGTAGGTTCTCACCTTGGGGTACTTTATTCTCACTTCCGTAGGATATTGGTCTTCAAGAGAACCAGGGATGCCATAATGAAAAATGGCCATGTCCTTTACTTGAGTATCGTTGAAGGTTGCAAAGGCCAAATATCGTCCATCCGGTGAATACCACGTCGCGGTCGGAGATCCAAATACTTCCTCTGTAATCAACATTTGCGATTATGTTTGTCATTTGCAATTATCCGACACAGATAGACGTGATGTTTACACTTCGCGATGTATAATTCTTCTTCGGATTGGATATATATTTTTTAAATTATATATAGATATATTTTTTTCTTTTTAAACATAATATAAAACGTTTTATAATATATTCATGTATCATAAAATACTTTTGATAAATATTAAAATTATTTTATGTAGATATTTGTTTGCGTCACAGAAGACAGGTTTACCTTCATATACCCAGTCCGGAATTCCATTGTAAATGATTCCGGGTTCGCCACTAGTCGTCAATCTTCGTACTACATTCTGGCTGCGATTGAAAGTCATATGATAAATATCGTTATCGAGAACGTAAACTAAGTCACTGCCGATCGGTGACCATAATGCCAGCGAGATAAAAGCTTCATTCGCAATCTCTTCAAATGTGCTGTAAATATATAGGACAATTTTTGTTACAAGTATTTTCTTACGATGGAAGAAGAAAGCTCGTTTAAAAATATTTACGCAGTTGTAAACGCACAAATTTTTATATCAGTTGTGACTGAGATAACGATGGAGATGGAGATACCTAACAACGATTGAACCAACGATTAGAAAATTGGATAGATTCAGTGAAATTGGATTGAAAAAGACATGAAGAATGTTGTGTTATGCATTTTGAGACACCTGTACATATGGCAAAAGAAATGCTCATTGAAATAATAA